AACTTAATGAAAAGAATCATGTTAAGTGCAACAACTTACTGCACTCAATTCCCGTATGCTGTTAAATTTTTTATTCTGAAAACAGGAGCATTAGTAATCTTTTACTTTATGTAAATGCAGTTACATACAGTTGCACTAAGAACTCAGTGCAACTCGCTGCGAAATAGTATATATATACGAATAAACTGAAAAATAATGACCTCCTTACCTTCTGAACAACTTGTCCTTATTCCAGAATAACAACTTTCTTTCACATATGAGCCCTAAGTTATGTCTATGAAATCACAATACTACACCAGTTAAATCTTCCTCCAAAACCAAGGCCACTTGAAACCCATAGCAGCATAGAAACAAGCAACATAGCGGGGATATGTAATAAAGCCACTCTTTTATGAATCCCACGGAAATTGCATTCTCATATTTAGGAAGCTGTAGCCATCAAAGATAAGCTGAACATTCCTCAACTCCAAGCAACTATGCAAAATGTTAACAGTATAAAGAAAAACTTAAAATATTGTAAGGTACGCAGGCCTGTTGTGTTGATGAGGATAACAATGTCATATAATGCAACCTAGACATTCAACTGTGACACCACATCTGTACTGCCTCGTGTAAATGGAAATTTCAGGAGAAATTCATCTCCACTATTGGTGATCAAAATATTGCAGCACTAAGTTTACAGTGTCAGTGGGAATGGTACAACAAACGGTAGATTAACAATAATTGAGCTAAATGGATTCAGTTTTCATGATTAACACAACCCATGTGTATAATATTACCATACACTGAATTAATACACTAAGTGAAACAACGAGGAGAATTAAACGAGTTATTGCCTTCTCCACTGCACTGCATCTGCAACAATCATAAGAACCACCTACATTTGTTAGCCTGGCAGGCAGCTAAGCAGAAAACGACGCAATATTAATAGAGGTATCTCTTATATATTGAATCCATATAACCCATATTGCACTACGCCAATCAGTGTAAATGTTTTAACATGGAACTCGGCACAGAAAAGCAGCAGTTCGATCTGTTACATTCCACACTTGAAAAATATTATATTTAGTTGGTAATAAGCAAAACATATTTCACCAGATGTGTTTCGACTTAGCATCTAGGCTGTGGGATAAAATAAACTAACTCATGAGATATAACGAGACAGAGTGTAAGAGTTATCTCGCGTAAGAGGAGAAATTATTGCAAGATAACTCTTTTTTCAATTAGACGAGAACGATTATCATTTGTTGACATTTCGGTGATTATTATCCACTTTTTAACATTTCGTTATACCTAAACTATATGTCATTCTGACCGGCTTTCAACATAAGAGCTTTCACACAAGTACACCTGTTCAAGTTGCCACATGCCATGTAGAACACAAAGGTAGAGAAAAAGGAAATTAAATGGAGCTCTATTGAGCAAAAATGTGAGTGGGAACGGATAGGGATAATAACAAAATATAAGGCTTGATTAGTTATGTGAGACCACACAAAGTGAATGCATCTGTGTCATTGACAGTGACTTGGAGTCACATCCCTACCTAACGGTATGCGTTTAACCCCATTATTACTCACCATATTATGCTACATAACACAGGGGACAGAGCACAAACACCTACGATCAAACAATAGTAGTCCTTTCATGTCTTCCAGCTTCATTGGTGACTTCTCACAACCTAGTTGTACAATGTCATGAGCACACTCTAAGATGACGAGACTCTCCACCGATAAGTTCCTAAAGTCAATGACAGAGAATTCTATTAATATGTGTATGGTGAAATTAAACTAAAACAAGGACGATAGTCGTACAAATTAGCCTTGTATTACATCCTTCTAGGAAATATAAATCCTCTGATAGTTTATTTTCAGTACCAAGTGAATAGAATGCAATCTGTAGAATTCATGAAATTCACGAAGTGACGTACTGCCTCCTCGAAAAAATGGGCATTGCGGTTGTGTAAAATCAATAGATTGTGAACTGCTGCCAATGAAATTGACAACAATTCCTACAATTACGAGTTATAATTTCAGCTTGGTTGCAACACCCACCAATTGTTAAATGACCACTTGACGAGCATAAAGTCTTTTCAGGAAATGCATAAGATTTAGTAAAACACGTGCACTTTTGATTTCAGTCTGAAAGCTCCTTGCCAAATGTATTACTGTAAAAGCCTACACAGTTCAAAAATTAACTCAACACTGAAGTGGAAAAACTTCTATTTGTCCTTACTGAACTTAATATAAAGAGTCTTGTCAAGTAATACCCGTGTTATTAAGTTTCTTACGCAGATTAGAGGGCAAGGCATCCTTAGTCTCTTGATTCATGTGGTATAGCAATGCAACTCGAAACGCAGTGGTATTTATACGAATAATTTGAAAAATTAAGTCTTCCCTACCTTCTGAACAACTTGTCCTTATTCCAACTTAGACAATAAGTTTCGTACACGTATGAGCCTAAGTTGTGTCTGTGAAATAGGAATATTGTAGCAATTAAATCTTCCCTCAAAATAAAGGCCACTTGAAGCACAAGTTCACAACAATGCTACATATTATACCCATATTGCTAAGGCTTTTTGTCTTAAAATGAAAACCAGACTGTAATGAGTACATGAAAACTGAAATTAGTGCTGAAATTGTATTATGGTAACCAACTACCACCATACCAATTAAGACAATAGCGTCCCAATAAATTGGCCGAATATACCACTATAATTCCATGAAAATTCAAAACTGTACGTTGAAATTTTGAACTCCACACCCTATTTAATCCAACACATTGCGTAGATACCAGTTTAAAGCGACATTTCCTGACACAAGTGCAGCAAATGTAACGCAGTTGAAGTACATTATGCCGCCGACATTACGTACGTCAGAAAAGTTTTTAATGCAATATTTCATTTAAAAAGCATGTAAAAAACATAACTTCTTACTAAACCAACATAGCAATGGACATTAACGCTACAATTAGCGGGGAGATGCAATAAATAATATAATAATAATCACTTTATTCCACAACAATAACAATTTACAGCACAGCCTCGAAACATTAGAGGTTTATGGCTTGTGATAATGAACGTTATTTGCTTCCCGAGTGCATTCATTCTCATTCTGACGGAAATAAGTACACGCATCTTTATCACATCATTTCCACTCGGCAGTTATGTTTTCTTCTTTCTTTCCACACAGGCTATGTAGTAGACGTCATGCCAACTTGGCGATCTTTTATTTTCTTGATTCCAAAAAGGCTACATTTACTTTAGACATGACAAAACGGTTCGGGTCAATCAGTACACTGTGCATAAAATGCAGATATGCATAGGTAGTTTAGAGGCAAACTAAATCACTTATAACATCTGAATGGTCATAGAAAACCGTGCTGTAGAGGCCCAACAGTAGCATGGAGAAGTTTCAAATAAATATCAAGTGACCACAATCAATTCCTTTCAGTTTTATCATTTTCCAAATTTGTCTACATGAATCTAATCGTCTTTGCTTCTCAGATGTCCGAAAACTTGTCTAGAATTCATGCCGACGACCTCTGTGGCCGTTTATTTCACATAAGCCTGATATCATGGCAACGCAAATGAAAGAGCTAAACTGATCCTTCAGCCAGATAAATAGACTGTGCACACTAAAAGTTAACTAGTAAGTTTAAAACGGTGTATTTAAATAGTCAGAAAAATAACAGGCTACAGAAGTCCAATTTAACTCAATGCAGACACTTTCCCTCTATTTCAGGTAGACGGTATTCCGTTATTCCAATGACTTGTAAGAGAGTTACCGATAAATGTGATAGCGTTACGATATATGAGAGTAAAAATCCAAGGTAATGAAACGATAGCATAACAGGATATTGTAAAAAATACATTTGGTGAGTTATAGAAATTAATGGTTACTTGGTTATTCAGTTAAAGCCCCCTGCTACAAATTATTAATATAATCCACAGAAGCATGCACTGCTGCAGTTGTCTACTAGTAGAAGCTGTGCGCCAGCTGTAGAATAGTCTTCAGATGCGGATGAGAGTTTCCTGAAGAATCCAGAGGATACAACACGGTTAGTTGTGAAGTAAGTAGATAGTGGACCAGTGAGAAGATAAAGCAACAAGCAGCACGATATATTTTAATTGTATTACGAAGTTATATATTTTGCAATGAGTCGTTTTAAGCAAAAGTTATACACAGTGTTTTCATCAGTAACATCTAACAAAAAACTGCACAACCAACTGTCCCAGACTCCACAAACTCAGGTTAGAAGAGCTTAACGAAATTTCCTGAATATGACATTCAACCTACCAAGTTTCCACCAGAAAAATCTAAAAAAATTCAAAGAGAAATTGAGATGATATACGCTGTGGGTCACTTTTTCGCATTATGCTTTCTTTAGGATGGGTTTTGTCAGTTACAAACTCTACGCAAGTAGCTCTCCAACATGTTGTTATATTCAGTTACCTGTCACCCTTGGTAATTCCATCTGTCAGGGGACCACACCACCAGCACTAAACTAAGATACAAAAGTTCTCGAGACCAAAAGGATTTTAAATAAAAGATGCACCAATTCGAGTCGATTCTAATTAAAAGTGGTGTCAGTGTACGTATGGTGGTCATGTTGCAGTCTCCCATAATAATTTCCAGTAAGAAAATGCATGGCACATAACACTTCTTCTGAGAGGACGACAAAAAATCCCAACGACCAACTGATTATAGGTTGCCGACAAGCTCATTATGTGATATATGGGTCGACAATTCAGGTCATCGGACTTAGGTTTATCACAGACCACAAATTCAACACTTATCTACAAATACTTACTCTTCCTTTGTTATAAATGAGCGACAAATAATATTGGTCTTCTGAGGTATTGACAGTATCTGTGGAATATAAAATGCCATTCCTACAAGATTTACGATAAAATTTTAACATGGTTATAGATCACATTGGTTTCATACAGTAAGACGGTGTTTTGTTTAGGTTCGTTGCTGCCGGACCTCAAAGCCCGGTAAATTTGACTGCATAGCCTTGTTTGTGACAAAAGTTGGTTACGCGTTTTCTGGGACACTATCTTTGTTTTTATATCATATTTGATGTATAGACTTGTTATTCAACTATGAAGATATAAAAACCTTCAAGGAATTTCTTCCGAAAATATGTCTGCCAACTTTTTATATTCAAACACTGCATTACCGTCGCTTATAACACATCAACAGCAACAGCATCTAGTTACTCAGCGCAGCCGCTCAGCTTCAACATCCAACGCTGGACCAAACGTTCCTACTCAATACCAAGTCGCTCTATCACAACCATACCAAACTCTTGGACCAATGGATGGATCTTGGACCCAAACTCAAGGATTGTATGTAAATGGATTAAATAAAATGATGAATATCTTTCCTGGTCAAAATGTGACAGAAATGGAACAAACGCCTATGAGTCAGCCAAATGAGGTGAGTAGTTGACTAGCTTAGGCTTTCCAAGGTGGTTTGTTGTTGCCTGGATAAACCAGAACTGCTCAGACATTCTTTCTCGTGTTTAATGTTTAATGTTTTGTTGAATTCTGTATATTTACGTAGAAAGTTAAAATTTCACTTTCAACCTACGTTTTGTACGTGGTCAAAGTAATCTGGCTATCCCTTCGGCGATTCTCTCTGAATATTGAATAGTATAGCCACCAGAATTTTGGTGTTAATAAAGCGAAGTCAAACTCGATCGATTTCACCACACTGGCTTTGAGCAACTAATCCAAATTAGGTAGCAAAAAGACTTGCAAAATCGTCAGAAATCACTACAGGTCATGGCGTTCGAATGCTTCGAAATGGCTAGTTATCCTCTCAAGCTTCCCGTCTATATGCATGTCTTAATGACCACACTCAATCCTTTTTCCCGGGACTCCATAACAAAAAGTCACGGTTTGATTTGGTTGTAAAACCTTTGAATCTAATTGATTGTCGAGAGGCATGTGCTGGAGTGGCTGCTATAGTTTAACTTCTTCACAACTCTGTTGTATTCTTGTCATCCCAGTAACAAGTAAAGTAAAAAATTCCTAGTTAATGTGCGCCTACCGATTTGGAAATCCGTCACTAAGCTATTAATATTATGTAGTTTATTGCATGAATACTAACCAATCTCCTTTTTAGTTGAAGGATTTCGTCGTGAACTGACATCAGTTAGAGAACCATTGGAAAAACAGAGTACTGGACAGACGTTTCGTCTTGGTTTGGGACTCTCCTTCAGTACTGGAAGTCCGAAAGGTCCTGGGTTCGAATCCCGACGGGTGTGTACTGATGAAAAGTCCCAGACTAGGACGAAGCAACTATCCAATACTCCCAGGTTTCCCAATGGTTCTCTAACTGATGTCAACTCATGATGAAATCCCTCCAACCAATCAAAAAAATCCCTACAAAACCAATACTTGAAAATTTCCTTTTTATAAAACAAACATAAATCATCAGTTAAAGACTTCATGGCTTAGTATTGTATCTTCATGTGATCACTAGTAGCTTTTCCATCTTGAGTCTGTACAGTGTGCCCCAGTAACTGCAGTCAATGGTTCACAATTTTATTTGTGAACTTTTCTTACTTAATATTCACTTAGAATACCTGAGGTCTCTGTTTCAGAACATAACAGAAAGCAAAGGCTTGGCTGAAATCTAGGTTACCCTAAGGCTTCAGTTTTGTTTCTGAGCTGTTAACTAGCTTTCAAATAACAGCTCAGAAATACTATTAATAAGACTGACCCTTATGTAATAACAGCATACCTCGTACAAGAAGTCAGCGATTTAAAGCACTTTATTGAGTGTGGTTCTGCTCTACACATGCCTTTTGTTTAGAGCTTAGTTAGCCAGAACAGATTTTCCATGTATCAAACCATTAGCCACAATTATTTGTTGAGGGATGATGCAAAACATTTGACCGGGCTAAAGTAGGTAAAGTGGGATTCAACTCCAGAATCCCGTGTCTGGAAGTCGTGCTAAAGCTAGTGAGCAACACAGTCAAAAATGTATGTACATGTGGCTGGGTAATAGTGTCTCAATCGACACTCGAACTCAGTACCCATCCTCCCGGATAGTGAAGCGTTTAATACTCATATGCTACTTAGTTGGTTCAGTTAGTTATCTGTGATGAATATCTTTGGACTTCTGGAACTAAGCTACAGAGGTATGCTGTTTTATCCTGTTTATGATATTTAAAGCAAATTTCCTAGTGGAAAGTTAGGAGTTCGCGCAATTTATGTTAAACTCTTCTCATTAGTGGCCTGATATGTTTTTCTAAGAAGTTATCAGACACTTGTCTTCTCATTAACTTTTCCTACTTTGTCAGCGAAAACTACAATAAACCGTAAAAGAAAACTACTGAGAATCATTCGTATTAATACCTTCTCTTCCCTTTTTACTTTCCCTACCTACTGGTGCTTTCAGTCATTACAGAAACTGCTTCTTCACACTGTCAGCATTCAAGTCTCCTCTGATAACCAACTGCGGTGTTATTCTCCAAATGTTATCTCTGCTGCTGTATGCACGTCACCATTTTACTACGCTGGAACCTTATTTTCATGAAATAGCATATCTCGTCTGAAGTTTCATTTAGAGTCACATACGAGGACTTTTAATGAGAAGGGAAATAATTAAACCAGTATAGTTTCTAAAATTCTAGGATCTATTAACGTACAATGTCTAGATCATTGTAGCAGCAGGTTTTCAAACTTAATCCTAGAATACAGACACTAGTGATACTTCTCTACACACGTTGGTGGTTTGGGACTACATCAGTCAGAATGTTTCATATTACTACTATTATTATATCATTATTATTCGTTAAGGGCGGTGAAATTCGAAAAATACCTGACTAAACACAAGACATGAGTACGCGTGATTTCATCAAGACTATCCAATATAGTTTCTGCATTTAAGGATGCATATCCTATTTTTATTGCATTAATTTTTCTCACCGACTGTTCTGGATTGCTTGGAAAATGTGTATTACGCGTCTGGGTTTCGAGTGACAACCGCAACCCAGTTTTCGACATTAGGTATAATTGAGTGAATATCGACCTTAGTGGCGCAAGCACACTCATACCATACCTCCATTTTAGTAGAAACAACATATTCCCTTATTTGTTTTGTTCTTTCTTTTGTTGTTTGTAAGCATTTTATGACCTGTAATTACATGATTTCTCTTCCCCTTGTCTTCTCTTTTCGTATGTTTATTGTGCATATTAGTGGTACTAAATTAAGCCATCATACAGCATCGTTGTTGTTGTTATTGCTGCTCCCTTTGGTTCCGAGTGGAACATAAAGCTTCGAAAACACCTCCATTTTGTTCTATTTTCTTCTGTCCATGCTTGCCCATGATCTATCATCTCCTCCTTGCAAAGAGACAGTGGTGGTCAAACCAAAACATGGCTTCATCAGTCAATGAAATCCACAAAAGTTAATGTAAGCCAGCCACGTAGGAAAGTATAGACTTCTTGGTTGGGGTCCTCGGGACGGTAAAAACCACTGAAGGCTGGAGACAGTTGATGATATGGCTCAAAATCGTCCTCAGTGATGGCTGGTGCAGATGCATTCATTCCTTGTGACTTATAATATCCAATAAAACTACACTGTTCTTCGATATTACTATTCTTTTTGCCTCATATCCATGTTTATTGTCTCTATTTTGCGTTTCTTTTGCTTTCTTCTTCTCTGGCTTTGTGTGCTGAGTGAAGTGTGACGATTTGAACTGCTGCACATCGATGCAAAGTTCTATGTTGAAACCAGTCGGTCAGTTGTCAAAACAAAATCCCAGGGATAATCATTCATCTATTCAGCAGCATAATATTTTCAAGATGCATCTGAGATTATCTTTTTATCAGGTTCAATTTGAAAAAAGAAGTATTTTGATCAGTCACATGGTAGTGTGACGTTTGGATTTTTATGATATTGAAGTCTTGTAAAAGAAAAATCAACTTATTCAAGTTTTACTGTGTGTGTGTGTGTATGTGTTTATGTGTGCGTGAGTGTAGGCTGAAACTAGAAATACTCCTTTTGTATTATTGACTTGTATTGACTTCCTAAAAAACCACATTTCATCTAAACTATACACACAAATGACCAATAACTAGAGCGTTGTAGCCAAAAGTGTACTACAATTTCCAGTAGTCTAAATCTCTTTACCTAGGCCTGCATATGAAGAAGATCTGTTAGATCTACTGACAATTGATGGATGCATAACTTTATAAAGTTAGATGACATGTCGTTTCTTCATCTCATAATATCTTTAAGAGAGCTGTAAAAATGTCGCTCCTCTGATCTAAAAACAGATCAACGATTATGCGAGTAACGTGATTCAAAAAGAAAGATATGTACCAATGATCAAAAAAGATATTTGCGATTCCTTGAAAATATGCACATATTCGCTCCGTTTTGATCCTACACACCGTGTAAATTTATGCTGCTATGAATGAGTTAGTTTCGCTTAACGGCAAAACTAGTGGGCGTCTGCTTAAGATCACTTACTTTACTTACTTTGCTTCGACTATCTCCTACGGAAGGATGAGCCGGCTTCATGAACTTCTCAAATCATCGCTACCCAGGCGCAGCGATCTGATGAAGAGAGTTTACGAAGTTTCATGGGAATTTGGTACGAGTGATGTCCCCAGAACCACTCGGCTTTTTGTTTGAGAGTGCAGCTCTAGCCTTTACACAACCAAGTGTGACCTACAAGGCAGTAGGAGTGGAGTAGGGAGTCCACTATCCATTGGCAGCCGGTGACCGGAGTTCGGTTCATACACCTTTTTGAATGGGGCCAGACATCCAGGACATCCAACAAGCCCTTTGTCCATACGTCTGCCGGTGAGCTCCAGTGAGCTTCATACGCCAGTCGTTGGAGGTTTGGAATCAGGGTTTAGCCATCTCCCCTAGACTGTCATCCAATGGACAGTCAACCCGGTGAAGATCGCCGGGCATCCGCTTTCGCCCTCTCACTTTTGTGAAAAACACCTCCGCCACGTGAAGGCAGTGAGTAGGACTTCCTCAGGAGAGGCTATGTAAGACGCCCGGTCATATGGGAGCATTTGAAGAGGTGTGCGGATGGGTGGCCAACCCACAGCGCAAGGCACCCACCCCCGACCATCCTGAGGCTTTGGAGGCCTTAAGATCACTGACACACACATACTGTCGTTTTATTTAGATGATCAGATTGTGTCTATGCCTTCATCGGATATTATTTTTCATACTTGTATCCTCTGAAGTCGTATCATTTCATCCGTTATAAAGCAAATCTTAACGTCTTAGCCCCTACTGGTTGAAACCAATGAGCTACAGTTAGTCTTTTTTCTTGTGAATGCCAGTTTTTTTTTAATTCCTCCTGTTTGTTGACAATACTTCTTGTATGTGAACTGGGCTTATGTGGAGTTAGTTAAAACTCCCCAGGTGTCTCCATCTGCAACAGATTTTCTTATACACCAGACTATGAGCCACACTTATTGTGTAAATGCTGATTTTACTCCCCAGTTGCTCAGATTATAGGGAATGGGGTGAGATTCCAACCAAAGGCTTTTAAAGCAATAAACCACCTTAAACACAGATACAAAACCTTGTGAAGTTCTGTATCACTATTTGTTCTTGTACGAGAGAAGTACTAAAAACCAGTCCACCTAGGCATAGGGTCAGGCTGGAAAAGAGCCAGTGATGGTCAAACCAAAACATGGTTTCATCAGTCAATGAAATCTACAACGGTTAGTTAAAGCCACGTAGGAAGATGTAGACTTCCTGGTTGGGGTCATCGGAACGGTAAACACCAATAACTGGAGACAACTGGTGATATGGCTCAGAATCGTTCTCAGTGATGGCTGGTGCAGATGCATCCACTCCTTGTGACTTATAATTTCCAATGAAACTATATTGTTCTTCGTTATTACTGTTCCTTTGTCTCACACCTCAGTTTACTGTCTCTATTATGCATTTCTCCTGCTTTCTTCTCTTCCTTTGTGTGCTACATGGATTGTGGCGATTCGAACTGCTGCACATCGGTGCAAAATTCTATGTCGAAAACAGACAGATCCTGCCTCTAATCCTATTGTGCTTCAAGAATCTGGAATCTGGGGTTTTTCGGTGACTCATCGGTGCTTCCGTAGAAATGCTTGCATCCAACCATATCACTAAGTAATCCTAAAGTCTGGTAGCGTGTGTTTCAACTCGGTGGGGATCGTCTTTCATTAACTGTTATCATCATAGAACACTGGCTTCGGTGACTTGAGCATGTACTATAAATATCATCCTAGCAGCTTCTATACCGTTGGCTGTTTGCTAGCTCTGGGACTAGGTGGAAAAAGTGGAGGGGCCGTCAGCCTATGACTTGGCTCCATGGGATGGACGGTTGTGTGTTAAGTTAGCGTCTGTTGGCGTATTTTGACTTCCTGGGCGACGGGATCTGAGTGATAATTTGAATTAGTGGCCCGAAATATACCCAAGAATCGTAATCAATGACGAGCATACTGTATATTGTTCTCTCTACTTCCCTTTCTGGAAATAACGTTAAGTAGTGAAATATCCTTTGAATAGCTTTGATAAGTTTACGTACTCGCTTGCCTGTCCCTCATTCTATCCATATTTTCCTTATATTGTTTTATTATCCGTGTGTGTGTGTGTGTGTTGTATTTCATATTGCATATTATTTTGGTACCATCATTTAGTGTCGGAATAATTTAAGTTGCCACTTATTACACTGCAAAACTCAGTTTTACATGTTTTTAAAAAATTTAAATTATTATCAAAATGCCTTTTTTGAAAACATTATTTTGCTATATAGAATTATAAATATTCACCTAACATCAAATTGAACGATTTAAACACACAATCATATGCTCATTCTTTCCAGCCAACAAATGGTAATACTGCCGGGAATCATGGATCTGTTACATTGGCTGCAGCGCCACAAGTTCATTTTGCAGTTGCAGCCACTCCGAATGGTTTAGTTCAACCGCATACAGGCCTACAAAATCCATCTACATCTATGCGTTCTGATCAGACAACTGTTCTGCATTCAACCTCTCAACATCCATCTGGTCAATCATTTCTTATTCCTGGAATAGTAGGCCAACAACCACCACCAACTTTACGTACATTAACACAAGATAATTTATCACCATCTGTCTACAGAGAGCCTGGTTCTACTCAACAATCCATTTTATCATCAGGTACAAAACAGACAAATAATCTGAACAGTGTAAACAATACACGTGATCTACACTCACGACTAATTGATAATGCTTCAATGAATCAATCAGCCTATGTGGCATCTGTTCCAGTTCAACAGCATCCTCCTGTTGTATCTCATCATCATCATCCTCATGCTCATCAGTTGTATACAAGTCCTACACTACAACCACCATCTTTACACGGTATGGTCGAGTATGTACAAGCTGTTTATCCAACTAATCCAAATATTCATATACCATATAGTCAACAGCAACAGCAGCAACAACAACAATCGGCAACAGCTATATTCAGTCATTATCCTGCTCAAATGAATACTGCTTTCGATTCAACAACAATGCATACAAACTTTAATTCACGTGTACGTCATAATACATGGACCACTACCACTTCTACTACTTCTACTGGTCTTGAAGACAATTCATCCTCTGCTGGTAATCATGATTCATCAATTCGAAAAATGAAAAATGATAAAGTCTTAATGCCAAATGACTATGCATCGTCTACACTGAATGAATATAATATTAATTCGCATGGTTCATATTCACAATATCCTACTGGTGGTGGTGGTCCATACTTTACTGGTTTTACACAGTCTTCTTTTTATCAACCGGATAGTAGTCAACAAAAAACAGATCTGACTAAACAACACCAGCAACAGCATCAACATCTACCGCCTGGTTCTATTACATTCCAACCTCACAATGAAGTACAAAAACAACATGCATGCAGTTATCAAAATCCAGCCTCTTTACAGTATAATTCTTCTCTAGCCTCAATAACTAACAATGATATTTCGTATATAACATCTGTTCCTATGGGTCAGTTACCGGCAAGATCTACTTATCATCATCATCCTATGCACAGCAGTTCCTATTTACCACCACCATCAGGCAGTGTTGGTGGCCCGTCTTGTTTACCTGTTCAAAATAACAATAATTATAATACTAATCATAATCAGTCGTCACATATGTATAATAATATTTACAATTCAGAGAATTTGAATACGACTGGTACCGCTGTCGGCGCCGCGGCCGCTGCCGGTGCTGCTACTACTACTAATGTACAACAATCAGCTTATCCTGTAAAGGATAACTATCCTCGTGGAAATCATAAACCACGTGAGTGGAATAAATCGAAAGAAATAAATCATCATCACCAAAGTAAAAATGCGCAGAATCCACTTCACTCTCGTTCAAATAATACTACTAATAATACCAGTAGTAGTAATAATAATAATCGATTGAAAACCGGAAGTAAAAGTTTTGCATCAGATAGACAACAACAACCTGTTTCGTCTAGTGATCGTAAAATGACATCTTCCAACTCTGCTGTAGGCAATAGATCAAGTGGAACAGGGAAACAAACTATCACGTCTATTCATACAACTACAACAAATTTCATTCCGTCAGCAGGAGGAGCAGGAGGTCTTATGATACCTTCTATTCCTTCGTCTACTGTTTACCATGACTTCAATTCAACTAGTCGGGTGAATACAAGAACAGATCATGTTGACTATCATCAGCATTCACAGCCTTATGTCAATTCATATGCTAGTAGTGTAAATCAACAACCGCCTATGCCTACTGAACATTGTATTAATGGTGGTGGCGTTGGTGTTCTACCGAAACATTTACAAACTTATCAACCATCTGTTACACATAACAGTCTGTTGCCTAGTTGTATTCAAAGTCTTCCAGAGAATTTTATAGCAAGTTTAAAATTAAGTGGTTTCCGTCTTGTCTTGGATTCTTGTCCGACTAGGTGAGTTTTATATTTTGGTTTTCATTAAGATATTATGTTTGATAAACTAGGAAGAGTTGAATTTCTATTCTCTGCAATGTAATCCTTTTCATCAGACACTTAGTAGTTCTTTGATTTAAGATGTTGAAAAATTAGGAGTAGAATGACCAGGTGCTTAGCACTAACAGAAAAATCAATTTCCTCAAAAAAATTGTGTAGAAAAACAGCTTCATGTCATTCGGGATATTTTAAGCGAAAACGGATATCCATAGCTTGGTCAAAGGTGCAAATGTGATCTGATAACGGGTGATGATATATCTATGGAGATTTCATTCCTCAATGTCTATTTAACCAGATCGCTAAAGAGGATATTCAACTCTGGACATATGTTCATATATCTTCGGTAGCTGTTGAATGCTCCCCTCAAAACTGAAAGACATTTTACCTAATATTTGTGAAACATGATCATTGAAAGTAAAAGATACGAATAGGCTAGATGTATTTGATCATAGGTGCCTGCGTTTTATCTCCTGTGTTAAGTCGTATAATATACTTTAAAATAAATAAGCTATAATAAGTTGAGCAATATTGAGGTTAGGCTTCGGTTGAATGCCAGGTAAGGAGGGGAAATCAGTCGGTGAGGTTGTGAAGTTACACCGATTGAGATGGTAAGGACGTGTGTTACGCATGCATGTCTAGACATCGCCTTCTTCAACCGACGGGCAATGTTAGCTGATTGACATAGGATGGATCAGGTTGGAAAAGAGTTAGCTAGTGGTGGGTGGTCAAACCAAAACTAACATGGCTTTACCAGTCAATGAAATCCACAACAGTTAGTTCAAGTCAGTCAGCCACGTAGGGAGGTGTAGACTGACTACTGTCCTCGAGATGGTAAGAACAAATGAAAGCCGGAGGCAGTTATCAGTGCGTCGGTGGCACAGAGGTTAGGACTCTCGCCGACCGTGCACATGGTTCGGGGTTCCATCCCCTTCCGACTCACACCTGGTATCAGTAGTCGGCTTGCAAAATTCGGGCTGCCGATATCACATGCTGAAAATTCAATACTTGTATCAAAAGTACTGTGTGGAATCAAGTTATAACCAAAAAAGTGATATGGCCGAAAATCTTTCTCAGTGATGGCTGGCGCAGATGCATTCACTCTTTGTGATTTGTCATATCCAATAAAATTCTATTGTTCTTCCGTATTACTATTCTTTTCGCCTTATATTTTTGTTTATTACTTCTCTTTTGAATCTCTGTTTCCTCTTTTCCATTGCTTTGTGTGGTACATAGAAGAGGAGTGGCAACTCAAACTGGTGCACATCTGTGCGAAGTTCTACGTTGAGACCAGTCCTGTCCATTTACCTAATCTTTGATCCTCCTCATGTATATGCTGCCGTTTTGACTATCCTTGTGGTTCAAGTTATATAGAGTGTACGATTAGTGCCTAATCGTCTACACAACATTGGACAATCAATTTCATCATACTTCGTAGACACACTGGACATCACATAGAGTTACTAGCATAGCCTTTAGAGTTATATACAAATATTCCTAAAAAGTTAGCTGGCTAGACCTAGAATAATTGACCCTGTTAAGTTCAATAACGTAGAAAAAACAGAGCTCAGGCATTGCACTGAATTCACTTGCATGTAATCATCACACCGTGGGATAGGATGGGGTGAAAGTATTAAAAAGTAATAAAGTTAGTTAGTTAGAGAGAGAGAGGTTATTTACTGAAGCTTTGTTTATTGTTTGAACACCGCGCACGTGCAATCAGGATGACGCAACACCTATACCGGAGATATGGAAAGTGGCAACAGAGAGACAGAGTAGAGAGGAAATATACATAAGACAAATTGTGAAAACATGTGATTTAATTGATGTGATTATGAGTAGCAATAATTTATGCTCGAAACGTTGTCATGCAGTTGTTAATACAGCATCATCACTGTGTGATAATTAAAATAAACTTATCTAATATGGAATTACATTCTACCACCAGTGCCCAAGCTCTACACTTACATGAATAAAACTATTACGGTTTGGTAGATATGGGAGAACATAAAGAGTGAATGCATCAGTGCCAGTCATCACCGAGAACGATTTTTAACGATATCACCGACAATTGCCTCCAGCCTTGATTGGTTCTTAGCATCCCAGTGACCCCTGCCAGGAGGCGGTCTGCATCTCTCTCTCTGTGGGTGACTCAAACCAGCGGTCAGAAATGCCAGGTTTCATTTTTAATTTGACCACCCATCGCTACCTTTGTAACCTAGGCCCACGTCAGTTAACATTTCTCATCAAGGAAGGCGATAGTTCGGCATCTGTGACACCTATCCTGGCCATCTCGAACAATCAACCAGTTGATAATACACATTGCAAGTTGATGATAGGATAACTTCGTTTTATTAGTATCAAAATTATATTAACCTTGACAAGATGATCTGTTTTTGCCCTTTTCCGTCCCATCATGCACCCTTAACCTTCCCGAAGTGACATATAAAATGAATCAGCGATAAAAAAATATATCAAAAAAAACGTGAATTGTTTTGTTCAGAAAAATACCCGAAGTATTTCTGAGTCAGTGTTGATTCCTTTTTCATTTCAAGTCAGTTAGAAGTTAGAACCCAATGGCAGTTACTTATTATCGACGTAATATTTCATTTGTCTTTTTTCTCCTTTGTAGAATGTTACTCAGTACCTCGTTAGTTGGTTCAGTGATTGGTCGAGGCGGTAGAACTATTCGTCAGATTACAACAAAGACTGGTGCTAAAATAGGCTTGAAACAAGATATCATTACCTTTTCACAATTCTCTTTACCAGGAAAAGGCAGAAAGACATTCAAACCTGCAGCAGATCCCGCTAGTAGTAATAGTACTACAAACGACAACGTAATCAGTAATAAAGCAGAAGGAGAAGAAATAGAAGAAGAAGAAGAAGAGGAGGTGGGGAGTGACGAGAAAAATCAGTCACCTGATGACAATAAAGATGCTACTTCTACTACTCCAAGTACTACTACTACTGCTACCAGCAATAATCCAGAAGATGACGGCGAGCCAACAGAATCAACCGCGAATCCAGTCAGTGAATCTGAGTCACCACCAGCAGCAGCAGCAACGGCACCACCACCACCAATTAGCACGCTTCAATCTAAGCTAGAAATTCAATCAGACCAGAGTCAACTTGCTGTTCTCTATGGATCCAGGGAACAATGTTCCGCTGCATTGTATGAAATCCTTACTATATGCTTCAGGGAATCAAAACATCGTGGTTTCTCTGACCCGTGTTTAGGCCTACTTGTTGAACAACAAATTTATAGTCAATTAATTATGAATAAAGGTAAAAAATATTTCAATGCTATACACGCTGCTACAGGAGCACGTATATCAGTAACTGGGTAAGTTTAATATGTTTTGAAAAAAATTCTTTTGCGTTCCCATAGGGTTTCAAACTAGACAGCTTTGCAGTTTCAGTAGCAGTGGTATTTATTTTTACAGGGTTGGGATTGCTAGTCTCGCACCCAACCTTCTCTCTCCTTGCCAGGTTTAATAGCAGCTAAGCGAGGTAAAAGAGTGCGTCGACCGGGTATCGAACCCTGGACCACGTGAGTGGCTGGCGGGCATTCTACCTCTGCGCCACCAACGCATAAGTTTAATATCTACATCTTATTAACTATGGAGAATAATAATGATTATTACTGTTAAAACAGACGTGGTACATTGTGGCACCAGGCTATGCGCCACACAAAATCCCATGTTTTATACGAGCTGGGATACTGCCCGGGCGCCCAGACCAAAGCAGCAGGAGGGGATATCTTACGGGGCCACCTTCTCCTCGAGTCTTTGAATTGAACTGTATGATCCACAAGGCAGTTGGTCAGTGTTAGGATCTGCATCCCATTGGTTTCTGGTGTCTAAAACAAGTTCATAAGCGGTCATTCTATCCTCTCGGAGTCCTCTTGGAGCCCACGTACATCTTAGGTTTGAAATGAGGGTTTCCCTCCTCCCCGCTAGGTAGACTTGCATATTCACCAGTTCAGTTGTAAGCTCCAGACGTCCAAATTCGCCCTTTTACTTGAGATGAAGGCAGCGAATAGGACTTTTTGAGAGGAAGGCTGAAGTCTACCCACTCTTGGCCCCCTACCAGGTCGTTTCTGGGAGCAAGTGAAATAATGAAAAGTAATTCACTGAATTAGAATAAAAGGACAAGACATGAATCGGTGTAGTTAGACTGGAAACATTTCTTTTTTTTTGGTAATATCTTGTGGAGCTGTGACTTATCGGTCTGTCTAAGTTCTGGGCTTCCAACCAATGGCTCACAGGTTCGAGTTATGGACAGCCAAGCAGTATGACTAACGCTGACATAGTAGGTGTAGCTCGTTGTCAAATGCATTAGAATGCAAAAACTTATTGATTAACATTCCATTTTGTTGTACGTCTCTTGATGCCTATAATGTAACAAGTTCGGGTTCCGAGTGGGACCTAGGGCATCAACAGGACATCTTCATTTCATCCTGTTCACTGTAGTCTTTTTTAGTTTGGCTCTACAGTCACCCATAAGCTCTCATCTCCTCCTCATATGATCTCCATACGACCTTTAAGGCACCCAACTATTCGTTTCCCATTCGGTCTCCACACGAGGGCCTGGCACATCTTGTCAGTCCAACGGTCTCCTCAGCATGTGTCTGATCCATCTTCCTTTCCTTCGGAAAATTTGTCTGGCAATAGGTTCTTGGTTGGTTTGTTACCAGAGTTCCCTCTTGCTTATTCTTTTCTGGCCATCTGATCTTCAGTAGATGTTGATAAATATCTGCAGCAGCCTGTTGGAACTTCTTTTCGTGGCTCTCGCGCCGTCTCTAAACCATATAGAAGAACCGATTTGACATTAGTGTTGAAAATCTGAATCTGGTTCCTTATGCTGAGTGCAATAGATTTCTACACTAATTTAAGATAAGGGAGGGTCTATCGTGCTTCTACGAGCCTGGCTTTGGCATTCTTATCCGTGCCTCTAGTTGAAACGATTTTGCCTACATAAGTGTAAGAGATGAAGTTATCCTACAAATTCCGCCCGCTGATGGCGTTTAATGCTTGTTGTTGTTGTTGCTAGTTGTCGAGTATCTTCGCTACTTGCCTCCTCTACCAATTTGTTGGCTTTCACCTATAAATAAATCTTCGAGTTTGTGTGACATTAGTCATTAATCATCCTCGAAGTAAGAATGGCGATTTATTTATTACACACAACCATCTTTGTATCTTTTGTATTTTTGTGTTTTACCATCAAAGTGTATATTGATTGGAATCACCAAACTTATTGATTTGAACAGAAATCTACTTTTGGTCAGATGTTGTATGTTCAAGTGTTGGTTTGCAAGGATTTCATCATGGACTGACATCAGTTAAAGGACCATTGGAAAACTAGCTGGGAGTACCGGACTGCTAGCTGTTTCGTCAGCCCAGTTCGGGGTTCTTCATCAGTACACACCCACCACAGGGGTTCGAACCTAGGATCTCCTGGTTACAAGGTTAGCGAGCTCGTAGACTATTAAGCCGCTGGGACGCGATCCAGTGGTCAGCCCATGAGTTCCAACTTCTGCCAATTTATGATATGGTGTGACCACTAGCGAATGTTAATGACGTTGCGTACTGAGTATGCAGCATAAAACTGAATTTCGCATATTTTAGAATATTTGCTAAGCAAAACAGTTTCATTTGTAGTTATGTTGAAGTAATCATTCAGTGATATTGTACAACTATACATTACTATTTTTATGTCAATTTTGTTTTCCCGTTAAACTGACTGGACCAAAATGTGTTCAGGCTCTGTGTTGACGTGTGTTGTCGGCTCCTAATATTGACTCTCCATCGATGATGTCTAAGGATTACTATGGATGGATGGTGATTAGTAGTAACGGAATCCAGAATGATCATTTTGTCTTATTTGGGACTCATCGTCAGCTGGTTGTACCAGCAATTCCCCGTGAGTGAGTGAGTGAGTCAGTGATAGTGTGTTGCCTCTGAGATTCCAACCTAGTGTACCTATCATTTGAAGCACGAGACTGTTATCCACTACAGCGCAACGGTCACAAGAGTCACTTTCCGTGCGGTGGGTATCAGTTATTATTTCTGTTGAAGTCAATTTTAGCACATTGCTATTTAAGAACACAATATTCAGCGAAGAGACTCTTTACAACAACGAATTTATTATCAATCTGTACAACCGTATATAGATGGTTTTTACGAAGTTATATCTCGTGAGGGAATCGAATCACAGGTATGAATGTATAAAATAATAATAGTAGTAGTATGAAATGCAATTAAAATGTTTGTGATTATAATCACAGTTAAATGTCAAATGGCAAAACAATTCATGTCATATACAGAATAATTTATAAGATGTATAGATGTTGGAGAGGGATGTATAATTACAGGGTTAGTAGGCTAATGTAAAACGTTACAACATAAGAGGGTGTGAAATTTGATAAGACAGGATTCAACATTGTAAACAACTTTGAATTTAAAATGACAAGTGGGGCAAGTAGAAACAATTCAAAGTGAGAATAGTAATAGTAATAATAATCGTAGTAGAGAGGAAAAGGTACATAGATTAACTAAATAAACAAAATAAATAAATAAATAAATGCCTATCCCTCTACAGCCAAGGCAGACGTAGCGATTGTACATACTTCTTTTGAAAACAAAGGTCTGGCTTAAAGTCATGAATTGCCAAGGCCTCCGCTGTCTTAAGAAGTTTATAACGAGGAAAACGCGGCCGGCAAGTTAGCATGGATTCGATAGATGATCTTAAAATCATAGTCAGGGTTGGCAGAGTGACAGGAGTCGATAAGATGTTCTAGGATAGAGTTTCGCACACCCTTCCTTTCTCTCTTGTAAAACGATGTTGGAATATGTTCTCGAATCCGTGTGGTGGTGGCCAAAGTACCTTGCTCTACAAGATCAAGTGAACTGACAGCTGCATATGGAGGCGGCTAGAAGAGGGAGCTTATCCCCTACAGAAATGGAGAGCAACAACTTACGGCTGGTGAAGGCCATTTGTAATTCCGCTGCAAAGTACGTCTTACTGACTGATTTACAGAGACGATTTTTGAGCACATCTGAAGTCTGATGATCACCTTTGAATTCTGAATTCATGAATAATGTTTTCTTTAAAACTGAGTCGGTGACCAGTTTGGACTGCTTATCTTACGTGTTACTGTCAATAAATCGGTTCGGGTAACCGTTTACTGCTAGCGTGGTTTTCAAGAAGGAAAGTTCTGAGTAAGCACAATCGGAACTACAAATGTTTCTTATGCTAAAGCAGAGCGAGTGAATTAAGTCCCTTTTCTTGGAGATAGATACCCAACTATAAAAATGAGTTAGTTGTCCATTCCATTTTTTTGCCACTCGATATTTAACTATGATTGTAATCATAAATGTTTTCATTGCATCTCATACTATGATCATTTTATGCATTCATACCTACGTATGTTCAAATTTCCTCACGGGATATAATTCCATAATATAAAAAGCCATATACATACGATTGTACAGCTCCATAATAAATTCGTTTTTGGAGAGAGTCTTTTCGATGAATATTGTGTTCCTTAATGTTACAATTGGAATTATTAAACATTACTATTTCCCTCTTTTTTCATCTCTTTCTTAGTACACCTCTGCAAATCTCTTCTACCTCATCTTCTGATGGTAATGATCAGGAAAAATGCAATCCAACCGGCACTACAGATCGTGTACTAGTTGTTCGTGGTCATTTGAATGCAATTTGTGCAGCTGAAGCCTTCCTCAGTGAACAAATTCGTTGGGCAACAATTGAATCAGTAATTCCGTCGCATTTTTGGCCTTTACTCAACCATCTGCCTTCTATACCACTCGTGAATAATCATAAATCATCGAATACACCGTTTAGTTATGATCCACAATCAGTATGTTCATTGATTATGTCATTAGGCTCAATATTTTGGCCACAATCTGTATGTGCAAAATTAGGCAAGAATTCTTCCTTGCAATATAATAATAATAATAATAAACGATCTGAAGTTCGAAATACAAATCTATCGACGAAGTGTAATAGTAGTGGTCTACCAGAGAATGATACAACGAATACTGTGAATACTCTCAGTCCAGCAGATATTCATGATGATGAGGGTGATGGTGACGATGATGACGAAGATGCCGATGGCGATGCCGATGATGCTGATGTTGATATTGTAGAAGAGGAGAATCATGAAGGTAAAGAAGACTTGGAATATGATGCCAAAACTCTTGTCAATGAAGATAATCTTAGCGAAATGAACTCTGAGGGAGTAATCCAAGAAGGTATTGATGATAATCCTGCCAATGACAAGGCGGATGATGATAATAACACCAGTCTTCCTCTGGATAACACAGATTTGTCATCAGAGGATATAAATGAAATTACTGTTATCTCTGTCTCCGCCTCGGATATGGAAGATAAAGATGAAGTGATGACAGTTATAGAGGTAACTGACAACGATAAAAGTAAGCAACGTATACTTTATAGTCAAACTTCTTTATAATATATCATTATTATTATTACTATTATTTAGAACATTAAAAACTCATGTCTTAAATCTGTTGCTTCCCCCCCGTTGCACTACTAGAACTCCTGTGGAAATGTGGCTAGCTGGCTTGAGCATGTAACTTTCAGCTAATGAATTCTAGATCCAAAAAGGAGGAAATTGCGCATATTCACCATTGATTCACTGGGATTCTTGGTCATGTCTGATAATACACCTCAAGCCGGTGATTCGAATTAATTATTATCAGACTCAGACCCCATCGCCAAGGGGGGGGGGTTGTGATACACCGATAAACACTAAACGGCGAGCTGTATGGGAACTGTTGTGATAACGGCGGTTACCTTGACGTGGTGAACAGGCTTGCATATTACAGTGACCCAATAAGCTACACCGACTGGAACTGATGTTCCTAGCAGTCCTACCCTGCTGGAAAGGTTGTTAGAATGGTGGTCAGATTAAAAGCAGTTACCATTATAGTGTAAGATGTTTACACTGCTGGGGAACAGGGATGTAATATCATTAACGTGTGTTTCCTTCCCTTACGGTGGTCCGTAACGGGCAGAAAAATCTTAATATGGATGCAACTCCAAAAACCACTTTAAACAGACCGTGTGTAACTGGCTTCAAGCAGTTGTCCTGTGAACTCTGCGGTCACACAGCACTGATTCTCTTTCTGCTTTAGGTAACCTAAAAATCAGGAATGAAATTTGTGGTAAATATCCAAGTTACCGAAGCCTGTCGTGTTCCGGAATGACAATACTTAAAGAAAAACGATCTCCATCGTGTTGAAGCATACGCCGCCGGACGTTAGAACTACTTACATTATTAGAGTAATTCTAAGGAGACAGTGATGTTCAAATGTCATACGGAGTCACCGAGAATCCTGCGATTCTGGAGGCCATAGGTTTGGAATCAAGGTTTTTCACCTCCTCTAGGTGGATGGTGCGTATAATTAGTTAGCCGTTAGTACCCTTCTCATACAAGAACTGACAGTGACACTGAATTGGTCATAGTTATGTATCGGTTTTTAAGGTGGCTCATTGCTGTTGCGTGACCCCGCAGAGCCCAACAGATGGCTGCTTGAAGTGGTTCTCGAAGTTGCGTCTGTATTAAGATATTCCTGCCTGCTTCGGGCCGCCGTAAGTTAAGTCAGGATGTATAGCTTTTAGGGTTGACTTTTTCTAACCCCCCTCCTCGTCTCTAGAGTGGAGAGGCGGCATATCTGGCATGCTGGTCATCTGAGGGAAAAACACCTAACCGCTTTTACATCCCCACTCGCCAGCAATAATATGACTTCGTCCACAGACCCTGAACATAGTGTAAACTACTTACACTTTGGTAGTTGTTAGTTTTTACTTAAAACGCTATCCAAACGATCTGTGTGACACGCTAAAACCTGCAGGAACATTAGTTCCAGGCAGTGTAGCTCATTAGGTCATTGGGATATGCAAGCCTGACCACCACTTCAAGGTAGCAACCACTAGTCTCAACAACCTAGAGTAAGTCAATATAAAAATCAGTGTGAGAATAATTTTATCACTTCAGTTTGTCATATGTATTCATTTCTTCTCTCATACTACTTTATCTAACCATAATTTAATCTTATAGCCGAATCTCAATCACCGCCTGTCTGCATCGATTCTGGAGTACAAAAATCTGATAAATTAGATGAAACCAGCTCTGATCAGTGTGTAGTTGAACAATTGACTCGGTCAACAATGCCTAAAGAAACTAATCTTGTTGTCGCGACTGCAGTTCAACAATCACTCATTGCTGCTGTTGGTCCAATCGCTTGGCTGGCGACTGGTGGTATTCTGTATATGCGTGTTTCATATAACGAAGCTGGTGCTTTAATCGGTACAGAAGGCTCTCGAATTCAACATCTTATGCATATTACTGGCGCAGAAATAAATGTCGGCAAGGTAAGTAAAGTGTGTGTGTGTGTGCGTGTGTTGTGTGAGTTTAAGCAAATTGTGTTGGGAAGTCCCATCCCCCGCCTCCCCTTGGTTGGTTTATCCGTAGTTATAATTGGGCTTAGTGTTTGACATTTCAAAAAAATTTAGCCTTTGATGCGTTAATTACTTGTAGTAACTGTCGTGTCGGTACTGCAGCTCCAGTGCAGTATCATTTCAGTATTGTTTAGAATGAAGTGAACCAAATTTTCAACATAGAAAAAGTTCAGCGCAGTTCAAGTTGTAGAAGGAAATTTACCAGTAAAATATAAATTGATAATTGAATTGATTCTGAGTGATCAATCAATAAAAGGGATGTGAACGCATTTAAGTAATTGAGAATAATTTCTAGCCATATCACTAACAATCTCCACCCATTAGTTCTCAGCTGCCTGAAAACCCCACCCAGATAGACAGACAGTCAGTCTACACCCTCCGTAGGTAGATTGGCTCGCACACCCAATAGTCGAAGACGTCATCTATTGATGACGTGTTTTAGTTTGCTTTCTCAACCAAGGGACGTGTGTACTGCTCAACAGTTCGCTCCGTCCTTCTCTATGGCTCTGAAACATGGCCAATACGAGTTGAAGACATGAAAAAATTGGCTGTTTTTGATCATAGATATCTACGATCTCTTTGTCGCGTTAGGTGGCATAATAAGGTAAGTAATGTTGACGTTAGGCGCAGAGTGTTGGACAAAGAGGGAAAATCAATCGACGAGGCTATAAAGTTACATAGATTGAGATGGCTAGGTCACGTGCTACGCATGCCTAACCATAGCCTCCCCCGACGGGCATTACTAGCTGATATAGGTGCAGGTTGGAAAAGAGTAAGTGGTGGCCAAACAAAAACATGGCCTCATCAATCCATGAAATCCTTGACAGCTAAACTGAGTCAGGTAGGGAGATGCAGACTTCCGGAAGGGGGCCCTCGGGACTCTAAGAATCAATGGCTGGAGACAATAGATGACATGGCTCAAAATCGTAGTCAATGGCGCATATGTATTCAGTCTCTGTAATCTTTCATATCCCTTTCTACCATTACTCATTCTGTTTCACTCTTATACTTGTCAAAACTCTATTGACTCTCTTCACTTATCTTCTTGTCTGCCTTTGTGTGCTCTTTGGAACGTGGCAACTCGAACTGCTGCACTTCGGTGCCAAGTTCCATGTTGAATCCAGACAGACAGCTTTCTCATTCCTTTGCTTCAAGTTTCAGTAGCCGGTGGTGTTGAATTTTACGAGATAAGATTGCTAACCTCACACGTGCAACCTTCCCCCTTTACCATCAGGCTTACAATAGACTGAGTGAGGTTTACGAGTGCGTTGAGTGGAAATCGAATCCCGGACCACCATGTGCATGGTTGCCGTGCGAGCATTTTACCAGTGGACTACTAACTGACGTGTTCTGGTTCGACCAAGTCAAACTCTTCTCCAATCCAGACCTACTGAGTTTTTAACCCTATATTTCAAATACTGCCATTGTGATAATAATAATAATAGTAACTGGTTTTCTTCACCTTATATGTTAGACTTTTTACTGATTTGATGAAGAGGTGACATCAGCTAGAGAGAACCATTAGAATACCACATATAGTGCCGGTTCCAGCTTGGAAATCTTCAACAGTACGCCCCCACCGGGGTTCGAATCTAGAACCTTCAGGTTGCGAGGCCTATGAATTCCAAGTTCTACCAATTCGCGATATATGTGTATATATATATATATGCGTCAGTGGCACAACGGTTAAGATGCTCGCCGACCATGTACATGGTCTGGGGTTCGATCCCCGGCCGATGCACGCCTTAACCTTGCTAAACCAGAAATAAAGCTGGTAAAGAGGAAAGGTTGGGCATGAGGCTGGCTAGCAACCTCATCCTTTAAAAATAATCACCACTGCTACAGAAACTTCAAGCCTCTAGCTTGAAGCCCTATGTTCCAGTGGGAACGTGAAGGAATATATATATATATATATATATCTGAGTGCGGTGGATCCCGCTGTTCACATGACTTCTCACTAGACTATATATGCAGATGATATAGTCCTTCTAGGCGAGGACGCTGACAAAATGCATAGTCTTATGAACACCTTAAATTGCACTTTGCGAATGTCTGGCATGCGATTCGCTCCATTTGTCAAATGTAAGATGATGGGGCTACAGGACTACTGGACTACATTGACTCCTAGCTTAGAAACAGGGAGTGAAGTGGTAGAGTGTGATGACCAATTCACTCATTTGGGAAGTTGCATCAGCCAGTGCCAGCGGGTTGATCTCTGATGAAATCTCAGCACGCGTATAGAAGGCTAGTTTCTCAGATGCCAGTTTTCGCCATGTATGGCTTAGTAGACGTGAAATCAGGCTGGCTATCAACCAAAGGGCGTGTGTACTGCTCAGCAGATTGCTCCGTCCTCCTTTATGCCTGACTGTGAGACATGGTCACTGAAAGTGGAAGACATGGAAAGGTCAGCTAGCTGTCTTTGATCATAGCTGCTTGCGTTCTGTCTCCTGTGTGTGTGTGTGTGTGTGCGATATAATTAGGTGAGTTATATTGAGGTTAGGTTTCTGTTGAGTGCTAAGTAAGGAGGGGAAATCAATCGACGAGGTTGTGGAGCTACATCGACTGAGATGGTAAGGACATGTGTTACGCTTGCCTAACCATCGCCTTCATGGACGGGCAATGTTAGCCGACATAGGATGGATCAGGTTGGAAAAGAGCCAGTGGTGGTCAAACCAAAACATGTCACCAGTCAATGAAATCCACAACAGTTAGTTTAAGCCACATAGGGAGGTGTAGACTCCTTGGTTGGGGTCTTCGGGACGGTAAAAACCAATGAAGGCTGGAAACAATCAGTGATATAGCTCAAAATCGTTCTCAGTGATGGCTGGTGCAGATGCATCCACTCCTTGTGACTTATAATTTCCAATGAAACTATATTGTTCTTCGTTATTACTATTCCTTTGTCTCATACCTCAGTTTACTGTCTCTATTATGCATTTTTCTACTTTCTCTTGCTTTGTGTGGTAAATGGAGGGATTGTGGTGACTTGAACTGCTGCACATCGGTGCAAAGTTCTATGTCGAAAACAGACAGACATACAGAACTTAAGGTAACTTCCTGTATAGAACAAGTCGTTAAATTTGCAGAGATTTGATTGGTTACTGGTTCGACCACCTACTCATTCACTAGCTCACTAACTCACTGTTACTTTGCTTTTTCACTTTTTCTAATAATGATGTTATTAAGGTTCAAATTAATCCACCTTATGCAATCAGTCCATCAACTCGCACTACTCATACTGCTAATGCTACTACTGCTGCTACGACTGCCACTACGAAACGCATCACCAATTCATCAACTCAATCATCTGATCGCACATCACCAACATGTATTTCTCTAGCTGATTCTTTCTTGAATAATTCTACACCGGATGAAAATTCTTCTTTGATGAACAATAAAGTCGATCAGTCTGCAAGCAATCAAGATGATAATATTGATGATGATGGCATCACCTCTGTGAATTCACCAGATGCCACTGAAAGTCTGAATGCTACAATAGAACCTACTGATGACATCAACAACTGTAACGACGACGAACAGCAACAACAACGCAAGCATGAAGTCAATACAACAGAATCTTCGACTGTTGTAGATCAATCCGTGGACAACAATAATAATGAAGATGGTGGTGAACAATCCACAATACCAAAATGCCCAAAAGCATCTTCGTCGTCTTCACCTCCTTCCCCATCTTTATGTAATGATAATAAAATTGACGACAATGATAATACCGAAAGCGGTGAACAGTTGTCATCAAGCAGTACACTGCCTAGTGCTCCTTCTTGTCATTCTGATTGTGGAATTGCTCAACAAAAAACTGATATACCTCATTCGAAAACAATTGAATCAAAAGGCATAATAAATTCAGCAAATCAATCCTATCGTTTAATCACTCTATCGGGTTCTGCTCAATCACAGATTATGGCTCAATGGCAAATATTTCAACGTCTTAAAAGTATACGTAAAAAACAGGTAAGTGGTGTGTGTGTATGTTTGTGTGTGTGTGTGTGCGTGCGTCTGTTTTAAATATTGCCCTTATTCTCCCTAATAATACATAAAATCATACAATCCTAGTTTGTATAATAATAATAATAATAGTAATCACTTTATTCCACAACAATAACAATTTACAGCATGGAATTTTCAGCGTTTCATTTTACATATCGCATCGGTTTAGCTCTTTTTATAATGATATAAATTTATGAAATGTTAAAAATATTGATAGTTAATAGGAAAAAATAAAAACCCCAACAAAACCGCACCAATTGCTAGGTCATAGTGAATAATAAATAAATAATATAACAAATAACACATGCATTAATAATATGCATCATTACATTTTATAGTTTAGTTAATGATTTAAAAGTTGTAAAAGTTCTTTTCTGATATTTGTCTCTTCACACAATACTCGTGCCAAATATGGTACGGTCGAATTTTTATATTTTGTAGTACGAGCATAAATGTTTATGAAATTTCTTCTGGTCTTACCCGAAGAGATACAAGGAAACAATTGTGAATAAAGAGGATGTTCACTATCAGACAAGATAACTTCAGCTAAGTGTTTACAAGAATTCATATGCCTATTGACAACAGTGTCGGTTAGTTGAGTCAAAGGGATAGCACTGACCCTACTTACAGCCTTCAATGTTCTTCGTAGTATTATATAGTCTTTCTTGAGTAGCCCAGGGAAGAATAATGGAGAACAATAAAGAATGATGGGCAAAACACATGAATTAATAAATTGTATGAGAAGAGATTGGGTTATACCTGAGTGCCTCAACTTCTTTATGTAATAAGTCAGACGGAAAACTTTCTTAGAAACTATAAGAATATGATACGACCAGCAAAGGTTTGAGGAGAAACTAATGCCAAGATAAGAAACACTTGACTTACTCTCTATCATGGTACCATCAATATTACAACAATCATGAGATTGGATCAATCCATGCATGTCTTTTTCACTTCTCAAGCTGAAATCAACACTATTACATTTAGTTGGATTTAGTTTAAGACCATTTGAGCCAGACCAATCCTTAACTTCAGCTAAGAAGCCATTCATATGGGAACAGTCCGATGTGGAAACTACAGGGACAGAGATGGTCAGATCATCAGCATACTTAATGAAGTTAACTTTGGGTGAGTTCGGAAGGTCATGCAGAAAGAAAGAGAAAAGAAATTGAGAAAGTACTGCACCTTGAGGCACATTTATTTATTTATTTGATTGGATGAAGGATTTCATCATGAGCTGACATTAGTTAGAGAACCACCGGAAAACCTACAGGGAGTACTGGGCAGCTGTTTCGTCCTAGTTTGGAACTCTTCACCAGTACGCCCCCACCACCAAGGTTCGAATCCCGGAACTTCGGGTTACAAGGCTAGCGAGCTCGTATGCCATTGAGCCACTAGGACCCGATCCAATGGCCCATAAATTCTAACTTCTGACAATTCACAACATAGCGCGACCATTTCGCAGTGAATTACTGCCTCATCTTCAACCTGCTGTACCCTAGTGGGAAGCCGTGACCAGTAGGGTTGCGCTATGTCGTGAATTGGCAGAAGTTAGAATTCATTGGCTAGCCATCGGATCGGGTGGGTCCCAGTGGCTCAATGGTCTACGAGTTGGCTGGCCTAGTAACCGGAAGGTCCTGGATTTTGAACCCCGGTGGATACATTTCCTTATCATCATGAATCAATCCTTCTGTAAGGAGGGATTGTTGTAAAACAGCCACAGTGGAATAAAACACAAGGATAACAAGGTTATCTGAAATTATTGGTATGGAAATATATACATATATTTCCAAGAGGTTGGTGTGTCCGACGTCGAATGAGAAGATGATGATTATGACGTAGTACAGTGAGTAGAATCCAAAGTCTATTCTGAAGGTCAAGGAAAAAATGGGACAAAGAGAACAGAGTGACAAATTAAAAAAACAAACAAAAAACAAGAAATTATTAAGGTGAAAGTTATTCGAGTCATTGAAGTCCACCACCAACGTATTCCTTTTTCAACGCATAGATCAGGTTTCGGCTGTTTTAATGCAATAGCTTCAGTAAACTGAACTGCTCCACCTGTTAGTAATTTCCAAATTCTCAGTAACGCATTTAGAAAAAACAAACAACAGACTGAGCGAAGAAATATGCATCCCTTTTCAATTAGTAGTTCCTTATCGTCGGCTGGCGCTACACTAATACATGGTTTTTTTTACATCAAAATCGTTTTTACCAATCAAGTGGTTATTTTAGTCAATCAGTTTTAGGTTTAGTTGGGTGAATTGAAGAGGTTGAAGGTCATCCAAACAATTAACTAAAAGATGTTAGGATCAAGAAAGGTTCATCCTTAGGCGTTAGCAACAAGTTATTGCATAATCAAGAAAATTTTAAAATAACGATGACTGAGAAGAATAGAATAAGTCACATTTTAACTGAACATTAGTTAGTAACTAGTGTAATGTATCTAGTCCTTTGTTTGGTGCAGACTGAATTCTATCAGTCAAGTTTGCATTGTGGCCACCATTCTAAGTTGGCTCGCCATCACGGTGCACTTTGAATTGTTGATAATAAATGGTTGGAGGCAATCGGCCACAGGAAGCCTGCAGCACTGGGTGACGCGGGTTCGAATCTCAGAAGGGAGGCATTAATTTCTTCAAGGTTGCCTTGTTGATGAATGCCAACCAGCACGAAACCCATGTCCAAGGTTTCCTGCCGATCGCCTCCAACCATCTAATATAGAATAAGTAGTATTGCGTAAGACACAAGCAAGTTAACTGAATTAACCAGAATTGTAAACATAATAAAATAAAATAAATTCAAAAGATGGTTACATGGGGATGGAAAATTGGTTTTTTAAAAATTTACTACATATTATGTAGTTGGCCATGTCAAGGAATGCTCTCAGATGCGTCTACTCGATCTCAAACTATTCGGTCTGGAAACCACCACACTAAAAACCAAATTGTTCATTTTTGACAAGAAACCTCGCTTTTATAAAATGTACATTATGTAATCATTCTATCAGGAGGGTGGAGATAGCCGACAGAAGACTCCCTCTACCTAAGTTTTTTATTTATTGACACTCGTTAGCAAGACATATCTACAACGTTAAAGGAACTGTTGCTTCTCACCCAACCACCAATAGTGACAGATTAGAATTCACATCGTCCATTACTACAATCAAAAATGTTTCCACTGAGAGCTATTTAAACTCACGATTTAACCTCTTATAAGAAAGACTCTTGAATACATTTGCTGGTTATCATGGAGAAATACAGTCATAATATGGCCTTAATTTTCCCGTTAATTGATTGGATGGAATGTTCGGCCTCTGTTGTGACAACACACGTCGGCTTATTTCTGGTATGGACGATTTCTAAGGATTAACTGGAAATAACTTGGGGGATGGTGATTAGGATATCAATAGAGATCGAATATTTCAGTCGAATCAATCGACGGAAAAATCAAATATCGATTTGAAAAGTAAATACCAGCTGATGCCTGTTACATAAGAGAAGAGATTGACTGTTGTGTCCCAAATGGTCTGTTGGCGTTTGAAGTGACGAGTACACACTGGGTTCGAGTTTCAGTGGGAAAACTATCACCCACTTACTCACTCACTTGGGATTGCAGGTACATCCAACTGACAATGAGTCCCGAATAGGAAGAAATGCTCACTCATCCTGGTGAATTCCACTATTCCTAGTCACATCGATCAGTTTGTTTTTATGGCTAAATTTAAAATTTACTCTTATTCCCACGATAATTTTTTCTATTTAACCTTAATCTGTTTTTCTATTATTTTGTTGTTGTTTTTTATTCTACTCTTCCAGGCGGATTCTTCAAATGATTCTTCATTTCAGAGAGTATTTTGTTTAGCTACATTAATTTGTCTACCTTATCGATTTTTATGGTGGTTAACTACGCATAATCCAGGATTCTCAGAGACTTCGGATTCTACTTCTATTCTTACATCCACAACATTAACACGAACCAATCATTATTCACAGGGTAAATCTGATAACAATCAGAACAGTGATCATAGCAATAATAATAATAAAGAACAAAAATCTGGAATATCTCCATTGAATTGGATCCAGTTGTTGGCGAGTAAACATATGAATGCAAATTATGCAGATGATGGTGAGAAACAATTGCCTAGTAAATTTATTCATGTCCTACCTGAGCCTAGACGACGTCGACGGTTAGTTCAACAACAGTTGAAACGAATTATGAATGCCAGTCGGCGTGGTGGACAACACCACCACCAGCAACAACAACAACAAATGAATCATGTCGGCAATTGTTTAGCAAAAGCACTTATCCTACCGACAAGAGGATTAAGTAATGATGGCTTAGATCAATTGTGGGCTCATCCTAATCGCATACCTTTGGAGATTTATGCTGACTTTGAAACAACACAGGTAAGTTGATGTTTTGTCACTTATTCTTACTTTTTTTCACTGATTAAACTTGGTTTGGTAAAAGGTTGGGGTGTGTGGGGCGTCATTCTTCGGAGACTTCTTACCTGTTGTTCTGGTTGTTGTCGCATCCATGACCCCCACCAGAAAATTGAACCAAATGTCACAAGATGAGCTCGTAGATTTGAAGTCTTATTGGGAAGTCTCGTGACCAGCAGGGTGCACCAAGTTGTGTGGTAGGAGTTAGAACTAATGGGTTCCATTGGATTTGGTTTAGTGGTTAAATGGTGTCGTCTCATAACCTTAAAGTCTTCTGGGTTTGATCCCGACTGGGGCCATGGATGCACACTGCTGAAGAGTTCCAAAGTAAGACTGACTGGCTGACTGGTTTCAACATAGAACAACTTTGCACAGATGTGCAGTAGTTCTGGTTGCCACTCTACATCCATGTAGCACAGAAAGCAAGAGGGGAGAATAGTAGGAGGTTCAAAAGACAGATAATAAATAGAAGTATGCGTGAGACAGAAAGAATAGTAATATGGAAAAACAATACCGTTTTATTGGATACGATAAATCACAAAGAGTGAATGCATCTGCGTCAACCATCAGTGAAAAAAATTTTGAGCAATATCACCGATAATTGTCTACAACCTTCATTGATTTTTACCATCCCGAGGACCCCAACCACACTGGCAGTTTATACCTCCCCTCGTGGCTGGCTGTCCTAAACTAACTTATGGATTTCATTGACTGATGAAGCCATGCTTTGGTTTGACCACCACTTGCTAACTCTTTTCCAGTCTGATCCATACTATGTCGGCAGCTAACATTGCCCATCGGTTGAGGAAGGCGATGGCTAGACATGCATGCGTAACACATGTCCTAACCATCTCAATCGGTGTACCTTCACAACCTCATCAACTGATTTCCCCTCTTTGGCTTACCCAGCACTCGACCGAAGCCTAACCTCAGTACTGTTCACCATATTATACTTAAAACCTAACACTGGAGACAATGCGGGCACCTATGATCAAAGACAGCTAGCTAGGCCATAAAGGAGGACAGAGAAAACTGCTGAGCAGTACACACACCCTTCAGTCGACAGCCAGCCTGATTTCACGTCTACTGAGCCATAGATGGCGTAAGTTGGCATATGCCAAACGAACCTTCTGTATCCGTGTTGAGATTCCATCAGTGATCAACCCGTTGGCGTTGGTGGATGCAACTTCCCAAATAAGTGATTGAAGTGGTCAACACGCTCCACCAACCAATTCACTCCCTATCTATAAGCTAGTAGTGAGTCAATGTAGTCCAGTCCTATAGCATCATCTTACATTTGACAAAAGGAGCGAATTGCATACCAAACATTCGCAGATTGCTGCTCAGGGTGTTCAGAAGACTGCTTTTCATCAGCGTCTTCGTCTGGAACGACTATTTCATCTGCATATTCTAATTCAACGAGATTGTTCCCTGGTAACAGACAAGTCAATCCTTGAGTCACTGAAGTGAGTTAGTATTGAGTCGAATAGTACATCGATGATGAAATTGAGTAAAAATGGGGACAGTGGGCATTCCTGTCGGATACCGCTTGTTGTCACCACTTTAGATTACACATCTCCGTGGACTCTCACCTGTCTGACTGCATGAGTTCAAATAGAGTGCCTTGATCAGTGTGATGTATTTTCTCGTCATTCCTTTTTACAGTCGAACATCGCCATAGTACCTCTCGGTCGACGAAATCGAATGCAGCTTTCAGGTCAAGAAATATAACGATTGTTGGGGCCGATAAGTATTCCTATGTTCCAGAATCTGTTTGAAGTCTGCCTGGTTCTCTCGTGTTTGTTCCTGCCGAACACCGTGCAGTCTACGCATGGTTGGTGAGCCTAGAACTTTAGATAGTATATCAGTGAAGCTAATCCCCCTGTGATTATCACCGGAAGACTTGTCTCCCTTCTTATACACCGCAATAACCAATGGCTTACACCAGTCCAGAGGGACTACCTGTTGTGTAAGTAAGGTGTCCAAAGTAAGAGGAAACAGCTATCGAGTACTCCCTGGTTCCCTAAGTAATATCAATCCGTAATCAATCTATAAATTACGTGTAGTGGGAGTGGAACCGCTCTAAAGCCATGCACCACTTGTCAGTAGATCTAATAAATCTTCTTCACACACAGGCCTAGGAAATTGTAGCGCACTTTTGGCTACAACGATCTAGTTATTGGTCATTTGTGCGTTTAGTTAAGATGGAATGTTGTTTTAGGAAGTCAATAATATAAAGGGACTATTTATAGTTTCAGCCCACGCTTACACACACACACACACACACACTGAAACTTGAATAAGTTAATTTCGTTTACAAGACTTCAATATCATAAAAATCCAAACGTCATGCTACCATGTGACTGATCAAAATACCTCTTTTTTCAAATTGAACCTGATAAAAAGATAATCTGAGGTACACCTTGAAAATATTATGCTGCTGAATAAATGAATGATTATCCCTGGGATTTTGTTTTGACAACAGACAGACATTTATTAAGATAAGACTAATACTGTAATTGTGGTGGACTGGATTATGTATGCGGAAGACTGTGCATAGGGAGTGAGTGAGAAGATAGGACTGCTATGCACTGACCGATCGGAAGACTCTAGATGATGTGGATTTCGCTCGTGGGGATGATTTATGTTTAGTGTCACACATTCAGACTCGAAGACTTTTTTCTTTATTCCTTCACGTTCCCAGTGGAACATAGGGCACCTTCAAGCTATAGGCTTGAAGTTTCTGTAGCAGTGTTGTATATTTTTACAGGATGGGGTTGCTAGCCAGCCTCATGCCCAACCTTCCTTTTCTACCAATCTTATTACTGGCTTAGCGAAGTAAGGGAGTGCGTCTGTTGCCGGGAATTTTGACCCCGGACCATATGTTCGGCCGGCGAGCATTCTACTTTTGTGCCACCGACGCATGCACAGGCCAAAAACCAGCAAATTAGCAGAAGAGGTGGGCCCTGTTTGTTGAGCAGTGTGCACCCGTGACTCCACCTCCACAGATGGAACCAAATGACCTTCAGGTTAGTAGGTCAACTCGTTGACTGACCATTCAGACTTACTATGCTCGAACAGTCGTTTATGATTTAACAACTTTGTTGACTTTAGAAAATAAAAGACAGATTCAGCGATGAAAATTTTCTTTATCGACGAAATCATCTTCACAGCCTGGCTGTACAGTCGTATTTATACTTACAAAAATATATAGCGGTCTATTATTGAGTAATAGGGGGTGATATTATTGATATGATTACTCAGAAGTGGCTTTAGAAGTGAAAATTAAAAGTTGTAAATTACGTGGTACTCAACGGAACAAAGATAGAAATTTGCTAAGGTTAAAATTGCTATTGAGTCAGAGTAAAGGTATTTGAGTGTCAATTTAATAGGTGTGAAGAGGGTGTGAAAATATACCAAAGGAGCATATGAGAGTGATAATAGTGAATTAATTATTAACAAAAGCAAAAGCAAACTAAAAGTAAAATTAAAAACTAAAAAAAGAAAAGAAAAAAGTCAAAATGTTTTTACAGGGAACGATTAGTGAGAAGGTTAAGACCAAGGTAGAATAAGAGACTGGACAAACTTTTTCTGTATACAGAGTTCAGGGTTGTATTGATGAATTGCCAGCGCCTCCGCCTTACACAAAAGCTGATACCTGACGTCCTTCGTACCATTTGGCTTCACTTTGTAGATGATCTTGAAAGACGACTCCGGTGGAGCTACGTGGCCTGAGTTCACCAAATGCTCGAGAATTGAGCTAGTAATTGTCTTGCAATGTCCCTTTGCTAACCATGCCAGATAATGTTCAGAGATGCGTTTGGAAAGCGTGCGCTTTGTGCGGCTAATATGCACTTTACTTTATTAGATTAGACTATTTCACAAAATGTTTTTTATTCTACGTCTAATTTCTTTTACAGTTGGTATTGAAAAATTTACATCATATGTTAGCCTTATGGTTATATGGACAATCACTTGCCGGGACTTCAATTCAATCGTTTATTCAACCACCGATTATCTTTTATCCACTACCTAATACCTCTGGACGTCCAGGCAATCTGTCTAACTTGGAGGCATCAAGAACAACAGCAACAGCAATGGCAGCGACAACATCAGCAGCAGCGCCAGTAGCGGCACACAATCGACCATATTCACAGCCTAATTTTTATAATAATAATAATAATTATGATCAATTTGACTATTGGACATTTATGCCTAATCGTCAACATGATGCTTTTTTTAATTCACCACTGAGACATAATTTTCCTATGCCATTGTTACCTGGTGGTGGTGGTGCTGCTGTTGCTAGTGCTGGTGTTGGTGCTGGGAGTTCACCCTACTCATCAGCAGCAATACTTCCACCAGATCGTTGTAATTATGTAAATTTTACAGCTCAACCATACTATTATCCTCGATATCCTTGGATGAATTTACCTGGTATACCATCTAATACTAATAATAGTAATAACAAGTACTCAGGACAGGCAACAGTATCAGATGGTAAGCTCAATTTATAAGTTGTGTTTATCATTATCATTATAACTGTTATTGTTATTTCAGTTGCTAGGTTCTTGCCATGAACCAACAACCTCAGTTAATTAGACAGAAATCATTGAAAACCAATCAGGGAGAGAGAGCATTGGACAGTTATTTTATGAGTGCACATCCATGACTCCCTCTCCCCTCACTAGGGATCGAGCAGGGCGGGGCCTTCAGGTTTTGATATCCAGAGTCTTGAATTGAGTGACCGTAGAGTTCCAACGTGTTATATCAACTCGTGAGATACACAGTGCAGCCTTCATCAATATGGGCCCTTTGATGGGCGCGCATCCATTTTTACTATGAAAATGGGAGACTAAATTGGTCACAACTTCCCACTACAGCAGTAGTAGTAGCAGCAACTTCAGGAAATCTATCCACGAATGACCATCATCAGTGCGCTGGTGATTGTTATTATATTCATATTATAGAATTTGTGAAGATTTTGAAATAATTTCTTCTTTGATTTTCCAGTCACATCCCTCTCTAACTGATGTTGGTTTGTGACGAAAATGGGACAAATGAAATTAATTCAAAATCCCCTACAAATCATCATCCTATAATCTGAATTGCTACTATTATAATCTCGATTTCATGGATTATCCCTACTAGTGAAAAAAAATAAGACAAGTAATTAGATGGTTGAAGACAATCGGCCACAGGAAGCTTTGCCAGGACCTAGGTTTCATGTACTCAACAGCAAGGCGTATCTGCAACCTCTAAGGAACTCATGTCCCTTCTGAGATTCGAACCCTAGTCACCCAGTGAGTGAGTACTGCAGTCAAAGACGTTACCAATGAACTGGCTATTCAGCCTCGCGATTGACCTCCTGTAGGACTGTATTGTTTATTTTTGATTGGACACTAGTTACTGACTGCTGTCCAACCAAAAATAAGACAAGTAGTTTAGTGACAACGGAGAGGTTCTTCTTGGTGAATTTATTTTCCTGTTTTGCCGTACAATCTTTTCATAATAGAGGGTAGTAACAAAAGTGATGACTTGTCATAAGTATAGTTACACAATTGGTCACGAGCTGACATCATTTAGAGATTCATTGAAAACCACCTGGGAGTACTACTGGACAGCCAGTTGTTTCAACAACTAATGATTATCAGGTGTTGGTTTGCACCGATTTGATTGATGGTTACAAATTTGATCACGAGATGACATCAGTTAGAGAACCATCGGCAAACCAACATGGAGTATTGGACAACTGTTTCGTCCTAGCGACTACCCTATCATACAGGAAGTTACCTGTGGCGGTTGTGTTTAATATATATCAGGAATTGGCACAAGTTGAAATTCATAGACTGTCCATGGGGTCGGGGTTCCAGTGACTGAATAGTCGACAAGCATACCTCGCAACTGGGAGGTCCTGGCTTCGAACCCTGGAAGTGGGTGCGTACTGCCGATGATTCCCAAACTAGGATGAGACAGCTGTCCAGTACTCCCTGTGGCTGGTTTTCAATGGTTATCTAACTAATATCAATCCGTGGTCAACTCGTGAAAAAATTAACATTTAGTCAAACTTTGGATTTATCGAAAATAAAACTTATGCTCAAAAATTGGATAGAAAAAGACGAAGTGAACCTCGTGTTATGTAATGAATAATCCATTTTTGACAGGCGTAAACGTCATTATCATCTTGATTGGTGTTGTAGATACATAAATGTGTATTAATCACAAATTATTTTCCTTTTGTCTTTAAATTTTAGCTGCTACTACTGCAACTAGGGGTGGTGGTAGCATGCGTGTTGGCCCCCCAGCTTTATATGGCTATTGGCCACGTGGACGCTTCAATCATCCCCTAGAGGATAAGCATAATATTGTTGTTAATGGTGATTTATCTTCACAATCGACACGATTTCCATCACCTGGCACTTGTGGCGTTGGTGGTGGTGGTGGTGGTTATACAGCATTTCTTACTAACTTACATTTCCCACCAACAGCAGCCATGGCAGCAGCAACCGGTACAGGCGCCCGACCATCAGCTACACCTTTCAATCATATCCATACATCTGTTCATCCTGCACAAGTTCATGGTTATCATCGAGGTTCATCTGTTCCACCACAACCGAAATTTAGATTCCGTAATCCATGTAGCGGTGGAGGGGTAGGAGGAAGTGCTACAGAACCATTTATCCTAAAAAGTATGCCATTATTAGATACACCAAATCACCAAATGATCATGAATAATAATAACAATCATCGACCGTCGTCTTTTGTGCATCATTCAAAATCGTCAACAACGACAACAGCAACAACAACAACAAATCATGTAAAGAATCAGGGAACACGAACAAAACATAATTCACAAAGTTTAACTGAATCAGTAAGTTCTTTTCTTTTACTCACTGTGTGTGTTTCTTTTTCCATGTTCTCTAACTGATGCCAGTTCTCATAATAATCAGTTTTATACTTGGGTTTGTTGGAGATAAAATGTACTCCCTTGGGTTCTGAGTTGAACATGGGTGAGCTTCAACAATGCATCTCCATTCTGTTCCATTCTCTACTGTCCGTCCTCTTCACCTGGCTCACTCCACGGTTACCCGTAATCTCTCATCTCCTCCCCCCCCCAACTCGTAAGATCTCCTCCATGTCACCCTCTCACTGAGAACTTACTCGTCGCTTCCCATTCGGTTTCCACTCAAGTGATGGCCTGTCGTGTGATGTCATTCGATGGCCTCCTCAGTGACATGTGCCCGATCAATCCATCTCCACTTTCTCCTACATATTTGTTGAGCGATTGGCTCTCGCCTGTTGGTTTGTTCTTTTTGCTAATTCTTTCTGGTCAGGAGGCTGGCTGACTGGCTATTTGATCTTCAGTATGGAGCCAGTGAATTTGGCACCAGTTGATAAAAGTCTGCAGTAGAGTAGCCTGTTGGAAATGTTCTTCGTGGCACGCTGGCCACGTTTCTGACCTATATAGAAGAACTGACTGACTTAACATTTGTGTTCAACAAAATTCGAATCTTGTTCTTAATGTTAGCTAAATTAGTGAAGAAGATTTCCCAACTGGTTTCACGTTGATGAAGGCGTATCTTGCCTTCCCGATCCTTTCTGGCCTGCTCTGACATTTTCATCGTTTCCGTCACCTGTAATTGAAACGATGCTTCCTAGACAGGTGAAGAAAGTAGTCGCTGTCAAATTTATTCTGTTGGTATTGATTGATACCGTTTGTTCTTGCTGTTGGTCGGTGGTTATCTTCATCATCTCCACCTTCTCTATGTTCACCTGCAGTCCTGTCTTCGCTGCTTGCCTGCCTCGCGTCTTCAGCCAGTTTGATGCTTTTTGCCCGACAACAAGTCTTCCAGTCTGCGTGTGTGTATGTGTCACATTGAATACAGATGATCCACGCGGAAAGTCCACATCTTCTAGAGTCTTACCGGTCAGTGCAATGTATTCGTGTCTTCTCATTCCCTGTGCACAGTCTTCTATATAATGCAGTCCACCACTGTTAAAAATATCATCGGTGATAATAGACAGCGAGCTTGTCTCACTCCTGTCGTCTTCACTTCGAAAACCTCTCTGAGTTTCCTATTGTGAGTCACGTGACACGTGGTGGTTTGATGAAGATTTGGTGTGCTCCATTGTAGTTTCCAAATTAATTCTTAGTCAGCGCTGTCGGAGGTCTTTCCAAAGTCTGTGAAGTTGATTGATGTAGAGACTTGATTGCCATTCTATGCTTTGTTCTGTGATGACGACGAGTAGAGTTGGAATTCGCTCATCGCATGATTTGCCTTTCCTGAATCCACCTTGTTCCGGGGTGGCAGAGTTATGCATCTAGTGAATTTTTTTATTCTCTCTAGGATGATGCGAGTTAGTACTTTACCTGGCGTGGACAAGAGCATTATTCCACACCAGTCAGTTCTTGCAGAGTGAGTGAGACATAAGTTGTCCTTCTTTGGCAGATTGACAAGGTAGCCAGCCTTTCTTTCAATCAGTCAGTAGGCACCTATCCCCCCTTCCAAACCTTTTGCAATTATGGCGGCAGCACATCTCCCGCAGTCTCTGGGCTCGTTTTCAGTGCTTCGGGGATGGGGATTTCATTTGGCCCTGTTGCCTTCCCGTCTGGACTTCAGTAGCTTGATCGCACTCAAGATTTCTGCTTTCTTTGGAGGACTGGTCTCCACTGACAGGCAGTTCTGTGCGTGCTGTGGGTGGTGGTGGTGATGGTATTTCTGAGCGAGTTGCAGGTGATGATCGATTCAAAAGTCTTTTGAAGTGAAGGGGTCTGATAGACATGACGCATTCATGGTAAGTGTTCTTATGATATGCTCTTATATAATAACTACCTCGTTAAGTCCCCCAGTGATATATATATTCATACTTATTTGGTTTTCTCTTTTTTCTTCTGTCTAGCGGAAGAAAAATGATGACTCGACAACCGTCAGCGGCAGTGGTGATGGCGGCAGCTAGAATTTGTTCAATTACTTATACATACATATATATCTTCAATTCTTGCTGCTTTTACTCTTTTTTTCCAATATGATACTCTCACTTTGCTCACTTCCCTACCTACTCACTCACTTGCTCGTAATGGCTATCATAATCGTGAATATAACGAAAAGAAGAAGAAGCTGTGTGAACAGTCAGTTAGTCGCTTGCGTAGTTGGTGTGTGTGTTTGTGTATGTTGATTTTCTCTGGAATCATGTCTGAAATTTGTTTCTTTGGCATCTCTTCAAGTCGCGTATGCCTCTCTCCTTCCCATTTTTTTTTCTTATTCTTTCTTTGCCTTTTGTGTAAATCCTTTCCACTTCCCTCACTTACTTAGTGATCTCTCTCTCCTCCTCCTCTTGTCTTCTAATTTACTCTGTTTCCTCCTTCATCCGCGGAAATCTACCTTAACTGTGAAGGCTTTCCTTCTGTCTCTTCTGCTTCCTCTTCTTATTCCTCAATGGAATCTTCTTCTCTTACCGTTCTCCTCCTCCGTCTGCGTTCTTTCTCTTCTTCCATCCTGATCATGGCTCACCTTTTATATATATGTGTGTGTTATTCTTCTATCGTTAGGTTTATTTCTCTTATCTCTCTCTCTCTCTCTCTCTAAATATACATTCATAAGGATCAACAGATGTGATTTACTTACCCTCCCCCCCCCCGCCGTCTTTTTTTGTCTCCTTTCCCGCTTAAAGTTTTCCTCCAAAAACACTTTTAGGAATTATGCGTGCGTGCCCGAGAGAGAGCACAGTCGATGACTATGATGGTCGTAATATATATACATATTATGATACCTGTTTATAACGCGTTTTTTAAATTCTCGAACAGGGAACAGATCTCGCTCCCTCCCTCCTGTCTCTTTCTTGTAAACTACCATCATTGCTATTTATTCTTATTATTATTAGCCCTGTTTTTTTGATATGGCTTATTTATATTAATAGAACTTTCCACTTTCTTCTCTATATGCACTCCCTCTCTCTGTTATTGGCGGCTGGCTTTAATCTTTTCTCCTCTGTGAGAGAGTATCCTTCTGCCTTCTCTCTATCTGTCCCTCTCTCTTTCTCTTTTCTTACATTTTCTTTTGTAGAGAAAAATAACCCCGCCCCCACCGCCCACGCACACCTAATAAATCTACAAACACACATATATAAAGCTCAAATTGTTACTTTTATTATTGCAACTCCTCAAAATCGAATCATTTGCTCACACACACAATAAAAGCAGCTACCATCTTTTTTTTACTTGCTTTATTACCCTATGAGTAGTCTAGGATCGATGGATGGGGGATGGATAGATGAAGAGATGAGCGAGCGAGTGAGTGAGTGGATGCGTGGGTGGAACAGTCGGTCACGTTGACAACGATGACGACCATCATTATTATTTGTGTACAATCATGTGTGTGTGTGTGTGTGTGCGTTGATCATAGTTATATTCGATTCAATCTGTGCCGTGCCGTGACGATCTTAATTTGACGAGGATGATATTACTCCCTATCTATCTATCTATTTCCGTCTCTGTCTCTCTTCCATACATGTTGTGTATCGCCCCCACCCCACTCTACACCACCCACGTTGCACAAAACACCACATTCACCTGTACATTTATTTGTGCCTTGTGATGAAATATACATACGTATTATGTAACCACCATTCACACACAATCATCCATGTGTTGTCGAATAAAGTAATAAAAAAAAGAGTAAAAGAAGCGGTTGATAGCTAGCGAACTAACTAACTGTGCTCGTGGGATGGAAGGAGAGACGATGCAAATTACCACCGAATTTCGATCACTAACAAAACACTCACTTACTTACTTGTTGATGAGTACACCGACTTTCTATTTAATAATTCTGTGTGTACGTGTAATTGCCTATGTGTATCTTTAGTTTCGTCCTATTATTATTTTTCTCTGTTTTTTTCTTATTTGGCCCCAACCGCCCACCCATAATCCTCTACTCTCTCTCTCCTAGCCCCTCTCCCCCCTCTCAAAATGTAGAACTCTGTGCTGCACGATATGATTTTCTTTTCTAAAAAAAATAAATCAATATAAAAACAAACTGAAAAAAAAGATTGTTGGTTGCTTTTTTCTTAACTTTCTATAGTTTGGTTTGGAAGGGTTAGTTTTGTTTTCACGAGTTGATCACGGAGGATTGATATCAGTTAGAGAACCATTGAAAACCAGCCACATGGAGTACTAAACAACTGCTTCATCCTAGTTTGGGAGTCATCGGTGGTGTGCATCCATTGCCAGGGTTCGAATTCAGGACCTTCCAGTTACAAGACAAGCTAGCTCGTATGTCATTCAGCCACTGGGACCTGATTCAATAGCCCATGAAATTCTGCCAATTCGTGATTTAGCGCGACTGGAACCAACCAATGTCATCAGTGGGACATCCATCCTCACTCGTGATATCTGGATGGACCCCACTGGTCATGACTTCTCACTAGAACTCCAGGAAACTCCATCCTGTAACAAGTCACTAGCGAGCATCAGATTAATTTTCTATAGTTTGGTTTGTAAGAGTTAGTTTTGTTTTTACGAGTTGATCACGGATTGATATCAGTTAGAGAACCATTGAAAACCAGCTGAGGGAGCACTGGACAGCTGTTTCATCCTAGTTTGGGAATCATAGGCAGGAGGCATCCACCGCTAGGGTTCGAACCCAGGACCTTCCGGTTACAAGGCATGCTTGCTAGTGACTGGCTACAGGACGGAGTTGCCTGTAGTTCTAGTGAGAAGTCGTGACCAATGAGGTTCATCCAGTTAGGTGTGAGGATGGATGTCCCACCGAAGACATTGGTTGTTTCCAGTCGCGCTAAATCACGAATTGGTAGAAGTTAGAATTCATGGGTTGGTCATTGAGGAATCGTGTTCCAGTGGTGGCTGAATGCTATACGAGCTTTTTTTAACGTTCAATTTGTGTGGATTGTCTATTGGGATCATCTCTACCATTGTGTGATTTACCAGACAGTCTGTCATAATTGGTGTAGTCATGAGATACTGTCTGATAGAAACAGACACAGGGATTCAGTATTAGTATTCACTGATGATGTTTCGAGCATAATTTTTTAAGAGAAAAGACGTTCAGTGAAGCATATGTGGTAAATTGTCTTGGCAACAAAACGAGAGTATTTCCGAAGTCACGGCATTAAAATTGTTAATTTATTTTAGATAGTAAATTACGCAATAGGACAAAGTGTTAATCGACTTGACCTAATATAATTGACGGAATTGAGTAGAATTCAATTAGAATTGAACGAGAGTTAAGGTAACAACAGTGGTAATGAGTCGTAGAAATTTAATAGCTTGGGAGTAAGGCAAGAAAATAGTATGCAATTAAGAAACAAAAATTACGCAACCGGTGTCAAGACAGAACAGGTCTATTGTAGCGAAAGACACACCTCTTCAACGTAGTCTCGATATGAAGTATTCACCCTACCATTTCATTATCCAATGGTTAGTATGTAACGACAGAAGACAAGGGGCAGGCAACAGATCGTTTTTACTGAGGAAATCAAGAGATATTTGTAGATTTTTATGTACATCATTATTAGTCTTATTGTTAGCAGAGAAGCAACGTCTTCTGATTGGTTGTTTTCCTGCTGAATGTTATTCTGTCATCTCTTTGAAGGTCAGGCCATATATCTGTGAATCGTATCCGCCCACGCAAAGTCTGCTGTGATTGGTTGTTGAGTTAGTCTTTGTTTTTTTCTCATGACCAAGATATGGGACGTAAACATTGACTGTCTACCAAGCTAGGCTAGCAGACAGCTCTCACCACAACTAGACTTACTAGAACCAGTTAGGAGGCAAGTTTCCTGCTATTTACTCAGAGATTCCGTCAACTTTGTCAACTCGATTGGAAACGTCAATGTTTCTAATTATAAAACATGTTCTGCACTGAGGATAGGACTGGACACATTACACTAATGCGCAATCAAAAATATCCAATACAGTCCTACAGGAGGTCAATCGTGAGGCTGAATAGCTCAGTGGTAGCGTCTCTGACTGCAGTACTCACTCACTGGGTGACGCGGGTTCGAATCTCAGAAGGGACATGAGTTCCTTCGAGGTTGCAGATACGCCTTGCTGACGTGCGCCAAGTGGTACGAAATCTAGGTCCTGGCCAGCTTTCCTGTGGCCGATCGCCTCCAACCATCTAAAACCATGTTCTCACTAGATATGGTATTACCGTTTACGAATATCCCACTGACTGAGACAGTATCCTGTATATGCAGAAATATTATTTCAAAGGGAATAAAAATTGATATACCCACTGATTATTTGGAGGAACTGTTTTTCAGATGCACTCTAAGTGCCGAATTCTCTTTCAATAATGGAATATTATCGACAAAATGATGGTATAGCTATGGGCTCACCAGTGGACCCGTTGCTTGCAGATTTCTTCGTGTCAAAACTAGAAAACACACCTAAAGGAAATGATTGACAGCTTTAGGTTTTACAAGCGAAATGTGGACGATACTCTTATTGGAGATAATGAAGAGTTTCGATAAAGAAAGGAAGACGAAATTTGTAGTATAAAATGATATCATTATATTTCACAGGTTCTCATCAGCTGCAGACTACAATGGTTATATAGATGATTCTGATTACATTAATTAGTCATCCGATTCCGTGATCTCAACTCACTGAACAAATCTTAATTTTATAAACTGTAACCTCTTTTGTTTTTTGAGTTGGTATGTGAACCTACAAGCTAACACTGTTCTGTTAATTTTTTCTGTCTTACCCCTCCCCCTTCTCTTGTACTTTGAAAATGTATAAGTTGATGGTGAAAACTTGAGCTAAAAATTGTAGTGCTGCTTATATTTTGGATGCGTAAGTTTTATAGTATTTCTTCTCTACTACCACTTAAACAGTAAAGTATGTTATTATCATCTATATATAACCATTGTAATTTCAGGCAGGGGTGTGCGGCTGATGAGAACCTGTGAAATAGAATGATGATATCATCTTATACTGTAAATTTCGTCTTCCTTTCATTATCGAAATTTATCAGGGGAAGCGAATATAATGAAGAGTATTTGGAGGACATGTAGCGCCCCTGTATTAATTCCAACTATGCGCTTATAAAACTAATTCATCTATACGTTTACAGAAACTGATTTTAAATACACATGTGGAATATTTGCCATTGACACAAATTAAGCCATTGAAGGATGACAATGGAAAGTCAATCACCAAAGAAGTGGAGCAGGGAAACACTGGACTGAACACTTAAAAAGACTCCTAAATCGACCACCACCTACGACGCGCCCAACAATACCAACGACGGAGATAGAGCTACCAGTGAATACCAACCCCCCCCCCCCCGACGAAATCAGAAGTCCTGAAGGCAATCAAGATGCTAAAAGCTAGAAAAGCAGCAGGACCAGATGGAATCCCAGCAGAAGCATTGAAAATGAACCCAGAGACAACAGCAGACTTGATGACACCACTATTGGAGAAGGTGTGGAAAGAAGGCAAAGTACCCGAGGATTGGAAGAAAGGATACTTATTACAACTACTAAAGAAAGGAGACTTGTGTCAATGCAAGAACTGGCGCGGAATTATGCTCCTGTCCATCCCAAGCAAAATACTAAGCCGCATCATCCTGGAGAGAATCAAACATGCCCTGGATGAAAAACTTCGACCGGAACAGGCTGGATTCAGGAGAAACAAGTCATGTATTGATCAGATCGCCACATTACGGATCATCATTGAACAAAGTTTGGTATGGCAGTCAGCTCTCTATCTCAACTTCATAGACGTTGAAAAGGCCTTCGACAGCGTCGATCGAGAGGTGATTTGGCAACTACTTCGCCACTACGGGGTGCCACCGACAATTATACATCTCATCCAACAGCTATACGACAATGCTGCATGCCAAGTAATTCACAGCGGGAAACTTGGGGAATCTTTCGAAGTGAGGACAGGAGTAAGACAAAGTTGCCTACTACCACCAATGATTTTCCTGATTGCAGTAGATTGGATAATGCGACAAACAGCAGTGGGCAGCGAGGAAACAGGCATAAAATGGACTCACACAAAATACTTGGAGGATCTGGACTTCGCCGATGATATATGTCTGATTTCCCACAAACTGGAAAATATGCAAGCGAAAAGCAATAAGTTGGCAGAACATAGAGAAGCCAGGGATAGGTGATGAAGATTCCTGGCCAACAGCAACAACAATCAGCATAAATGGGAGGAACCTGAAAGAAACAACCTCTTTTACTTACCTGGGAAGCATCGTTTCAACTACAGGCGGGACTGACGAGGATATCAAAGCAAGAATCGGAAAAGTAGTACAAGCTTTCACTATTCTCAAGTCTCTGTGGAGGTCAACACCCAGCACTCAGCATCAAAAATAAGATCCGGATTTACAACTCCAATGTGAAGGCAGTGCTACTCCCTACACGGATCAGAGACTTGCACTGCGCGTCATAAAGAGCATCTCAAATAAACTACAGACCTTCATTAACAGTTGTCTTCGCTCAATACTCAAGATCAGATGGCCGGCCAGAAAAGATCAGCAACAGAGGTCTCTGAGAGCAAACCAACCAGGAACCGATTGTGAAACAAATAGGCAGGAAGAAATGGAGATGGATCGGCTGCCCATACTCTGAGGAAACCATCAAGTGATATCACTAGACAAGCCATCGCTCGAGTGGAACCCGAAAGGGAAGCGGCGAGTTGGTCGTCAGTGCAAGGGTGACATAGAGGAACTGATGTGAAGAGGAGATGAAAGCGTTTGGGCAGACTTGGAGCCAGGTGAAGACTCTAGCAGAGAACCGAACGCAATGGAGACGCACGGCTGAAGCCCTATGTTCCTCTAGGAATTAAAGGAAACAATAATAATAATTCCTGGACATGGGTTTGTCATTCTTTATATGTATATATATATGGGCGTCGGTGGCACAGCGGTAGAATGCTCGTCAACCACGCTTCAAGTGGTTCGGAGTTCGATCCCCGACCTGCGAACTCCTTTACCTCGATAAGACCAGTAGAGAGGAAAGGTTGGGCAT